TTTTTTAATCATTTTATTAGGGGCTCATACAACTCTTATCACAATCCATACACACATCAATTGTGTAAAGCGCATTTGTACATTCATTGCCCTCATGAGATAGGCACTTCTACTTAAGCTCCCTCCCACTTGAAATTTCAGCCTTGTAAAGCTTGTTCTGTTTTTAAAGCTTGCCCAAGAAATTTGCTGACAATAAAATTTCCGCTTTAAATATTCAGCATGGTTTTAAATGGGTTTCTTCAAATTACTCTTCAGTGGACCTTTAAAGCCACAATTGGAGAGATAAAAGTAATTAGAAATGTCGATGTAAATGGAGTTGAATCTTTCAGATGTCCTCCAAAACATTCCATGGCCTGCTCTTACCCCGCTCCCCTTAGGATGTCGAATAGTTCAACCATTTATCATTACACATCACTCAATGCATTTCCACATCACAAGATATATTTCTGCCATTCCAATTAGTACCCTACTGTGTCACAGAAGACAGAATGCTAATCCCAAGGGCAGCAGCAGTTAAACTTAAATAGTGTGTGTGAGGAGAGAATACGAAACAGTGGATGGAAAAACTTTCAAGTCCTGCCCAAGCCACTTAGTAGTGGTGTGAACTTGGGTCAGCCCCTTAACCTCCTCTCCTCCTCAGTTGTGAAAACTAAATTAAATACTCACGTGACATGCTTCATAAGCAGAAACCGTATACAAATAGAAAGATTAAAAAAAGACGATCATTAGAGCTCTAAGAGTAGAGAAACTGTTGGCCCAGAGCTTAGGAAGATAACAGGTCTTATATCGCAGAGGCTACTCATTCTCCACACATCCCACGGGAATCTACACAGACCCAGGTGACAATTGCCTCCTTGGAAGAAGTGTCATTACCCTGGCTGATGACAGATATCATGATCTCCCTCCAAGTGATTATTTATCTGTCCAGTAATTACCTAAGCCTCTTAAGCAAATAAGAAGTTGTATGTGTAACACAGTTACATCCATAAATGTAACAGCCACATGTAATGCATAATAGATTATGTTAATTCAGTGCATTGCCTGTTTTAAAGTTACCTAACTGCTCCCTGCAAGTCATGACATCTTCTCATGCCTTCAGGGTTTTGGGGTGTTCAGGAAAACCTAATCTTAATTTTCATCTCACATACTTTGGACAGGTTGTCAGGGGAAACCAGCCCGAGAGCAGGACATCACTCTTGGTAAATAGAGGGGAAGACCGTCAAGGAGATGGGTGGACAGGGTGGCTCCCACAACGGGCTCGGGCACAGCAGTGACTGTGAGGTTTTCTTCTGCTGCGAGTAAGGGCACTATGAGTCAGGAACCCACTCAACACCACCTCAGAGCAAGTCTAATCTCAGTGCACACCACAACGTGACTGCTCCCCACCGCCATGGGCTGGTGAAAGAGGGCTAGTGCTGCGCGGGGCAACTGCGAGACTGCCCAGGAACTGCCCGGTTGTTGCAGGATCGTCAGAAAGTGGTGGTTCTCCACCTTCCTCATGCCATGACCCTTTAATACAGTTCCATATATTGTGGTGACCCCCCACCATAAAATTATTTTCATTGCTACTTCATCACTGTAATTTTGCTACTGTTATGTATCGGGAGACCGTTGTGAAAAGGTCGTTCAACCCCTAAAGGGGTGGCAACCCACAGGCTGAGAACCGCTGCTTTAGAGTCATCATCAGAATTTCCAGAGTTCAAAAGCACCCACACAGAATAGTTTGAAAAGACACTCGTTCTCTTCAAAATGAGAAATTTCAAGTAAATTATTTACCATATATACTCGAGCGAGTATATATGGTATAAGCCAACCCGAATATCAGCCAAGGCACCTAATTTTACCACAAAAACTGCACTAAAAATGTGCTGAAAAACCTTGGCTTATACACGTGTATATACGGAACACCTGGAAGCACTCAATACTCACAGGTAATGATCAGCATCAAATTTGGCCAGCTCAGCAGCCAGGCGCTTCTGTCTTCGTTCAGCTGTAGGTGTAGAATCTGGGTCCTTAAGATCGATAACATCACTCAATTCATCCTAAGAACACCCAGAGAAGAAAGAACCATGACTAGCTCCCACTTTAGTATTTGAAAATCAAACTGTGTTTACAATGCCAAAATATAGGGAGGGGGAAATTGATTGGTAAGCCACGAGAGTAAATATGACATTTATATTCAAACCTAACACGTTTGGTAACCACCTACTACTCACCAAACTCCCTTGGAGGCTTTCATATAAATCACCTCAGTTAATTTTTATAACAAACAAACCAATCAATGAGCATACAGTAAGGCACGAAAAGCTTCAACATCAGAAACAGACAGGCACATCCCTCCCAAGTAAGCAGGAGCATTTACTTGCGATCCATTCCACACTTTATCAAGAGAGGTGGAAACTACTAAGACAGACTCAGTCTGAGTGCCGAACATTTACATAGAGACTTTCCTTTTGTTTCTTCATACAAAGCAGTGGTGGGGCTAAGCTGCTAACCACAGGTCAGGGGTTCAAACCCAACTGCAGCTCTGAGGGAGAAAGATGAGTCTGTCTGTAAATCCCCTAAGATTTACAGGCTGGCTAGGAGTTGAACGCAACTCGATGCTAGTGGGTTTCATGTTTTCTTAATAGTCTGTCTTCCCACAAACTCAAACTCACTGCCATTGAGTCGATCCTGACTCACAGTGACCCTACAGGACAGGGTAGAACTGCCTCTTCAGGTTTCCAAGACTGCAGCTCCTTATAGGAGTAGAAAGCCTCATCTTTTCCCGTGGAGCAGCTGGTGGTTTTGACTGCTGCCCTCGTGGTTAGCAGCACAATATGTAACCTACTTGGCTACCAGGGTTCCTCAGTAGTCTGTCTTAGCAAGCCACAAATAATAATCACCCCATGAAACTAGCTACACAAAACCATGTACACTCTGCTGTAGGAGCTTAGTGAAGGATTTCCAAGGTTAATTTTGATATACATGGCTTCCCCTTTGAAAGTTATACAACAATCTGACACTGAAATTGTTGCCAAGGGGGTATATTCATATTAATATGTAATTTTCCTGTTACATATTAACCCTATACAGTCCATGTGTTTCAGGAAAACGTTCTAGAATACCACAAGATCTTTACTCTCTTGATCAGAGAGACTTATGAAGCAAACTTAAACAATACAAAACTTCCTAAAACTCTTTTTCTTTCTTCAAATCCTACTCTTACCAACAACATTTAAGCAAGAAGTCTATGCCAATGATTTTCTTCCTAGTCTTAGTCTGGAAGCTCTCTGGAACCTGCTCAGCATTAGAACAACACACAAGCAGCCGCCGCTACAAGACAGGTACACTGGCTGGGCAGTGATCCAGGTCCCCGGCAAAGAGGCAAAAAGTTGACCACTAGAACACCGGTACCTCATTTCAGGCCTCAACCCAACTGAACATAAAACCACCATAATGAAGTGTGCTCTGTTGAATTAGGAAGGGAGGAGCTTGTCCCGACCCGCAGGAATGTCAACGCAGACCCTGGAGGAGGGAGTGGGAATTGAGGGGAACAAGAGACACGAGAAACGGAGACAAGACAGTATTCCGATCAAGTCTCTCTTTATTGAGTGAAAGGTTGCAGCCTATACAGGCCAGGGGAAGGGAAACACCCATCGCACATGTAAATTAGGCCACTTTGGTAATAGACCAATCAAGGATTCCGGGGGAGCACGCCCTCAGTAACGGTTTAGTCTTCAACCAGGTCCACGAAGTGACGTCATTTTATGCAAATCAGGTGCAGACACTAGATATGTAAATAGGGTGAAGACAATCTCCTACCCAATCAAGGGGAAGCAGGAATAACATAATCACAAAACTATTCCCGTAGGCGGGAATGGAAAAGTACTGCAAGCTCTGACAAAATATAGTGGAGATTGAGCAGAATGGCCCCGGACAGGAACTGGGATAAAGACACCCCATACAAGGAAAATTGCCACAAAAAGACAAACATCTCTCATCCCCAGTAAAGTCCATGGCCTTCGAGGAATACAGCGGGCCCTCTGCGAGAAGGTCAACAGGCCTGCCTCGTTTTGACCAGATCTTGCAAGTGTTTTGCCTTTGCTAGGTTGCAGTCTTTTCACTTTTCTATCATTATTACTGAAAATAGATCTGTGTTTCCCTTCTCTGACAGGGCAGATGTGGCGGTCTGCTTCTGTGAAGCCCACAGACCTGCCCCAGAGGCTTCCTGTGGATTGGAATCAACTCAGCAGCAACAGGTTTGGTTAGGGTTTATGCTAACAGGAGAAATCAGACAGACACATACATAATACTGGACCTGCATAAACTAGTGCTGTCCTTCTTTGGGCTCAAATACATTTGAGTCACACACTGGACTTCTTTCCATTTCTTGTTCATGCCGATTCAGTCCCAACTCTGAGCCTCTGTATTGGTGTAAGATTCAATGCAAAGGCCACTTCCACTAAGCCGTTTTCTGTGGGGCCCCTACATAAGGAATACTCGCCAGTCACCCACACCACCCCACTTTGCCTTCACTGAGTTACTTTGCACAATGATCTCTCATCTCCCCACCGGAGCATGGGTTCCTTGAGGCCAGGCGGCTCGTCCATCTGTTTTCCCACTGGATCCCCAGCACTGTGGGGCCTGCTGTGTGCTGGGCACTGTTCTGGGTTCCAGAGACGCAGTAATGCACACAAGAAAAGGCCCCGCACTCCCCGGGCTGAGAAGTGAGCAATAACCACATGGCTCTCTTTCTTTCCCATCTTCTCTTCCCCCTTCTTCTAGACTTAGGGCCTTCACACAGACTGTGAACAGAACAGAACGTGAACGTGAACCCACCCTCGGGGCTTGTACTAAGCACAGCCATCTGCAGTGCCCTGTTGGAGTGCAACTGGAACACGCTAAAAAGCACAGCTAGCATGGGGTGTACATCTCTCTCTAAGGCAACAACCAACCAAAGGAAGGAAGAAAAAAGGACAAGATATGCTCAGCTTCCACAACAGGAACAAAGGAAGTTCTTTTTCTAGCACTGCTGTGGCTACGAGTTATTAGAGCTATTTAAAGATGACAATCCCAAGTAGAAGTGCTCCCAGTTTCAATGGGGTTTCTGCACGCTTTCCCGGCAGGAGATGAGGAGGTAGGTTCAACACTGGGCTGGTAACTAAAAAGCTGGTGGTCTGATCCTCCCAGTCACCCCACGTGGGGGAAAAGGTCTGGTGATCTGCCCTCTAAGGATCAGGAAACAGCCTGGGAAACTGCACAGGGCAGTTGTACCCTGTCCTACGGGGCTGTTAAGAATTTAGACTGGTGTCCAACCAAAACAAGATGTAAGAGTGCAGGTTCAATTCCTGGGCAAGGCAGCTCATGTGCAGCCCTCAAGGCATCTGTATGTCAGTACAGAGGTTGTGTAATACTACGGTACACACAAGTTTCCAAGGAGCTTCCACACTAAGACAGACAAGTGGACAGGCTACTCCTGCAAAGCAGCCAATGAGAACCTTCTCGGTCACAGCAGTCCAATCTACAACCAACTGTGGGTACACACAGGACCAGGGAGCATTCTGTCCTCTGTATGCTGAGTCACCATCTCACACCGACACCACGTCAGCAAAGAAGCAGCAGCAGCAGCAGCAAGGCACCAGAGGGAAGAGAAAGAGCCTTGTGCAGAGCTGGCCAGCAGGTGCCTGGACACAACACTCCCCCGTCCCCTGGCGCGGCCAGGAGAGGTGGGGTCAGCAAGCCAGACAGCCTGTGGCAGCTGGCAGCAGTGGTCCCTAGAGCTCACTGGGCTAGCGCCCAGAGACTCTAGCTTGTAGTGAAGTCCTGACTTTGAGCAGCCAGCGCAGCTCTCCAAGGGCACCCTGCAGGCTGGCAGCAAGGTAAGGTAGGAAAGGGGGAGGGGGAGGGGCCGGGGCAGAGAGAAAATTTGTTTCAACATACCCTGTGTAGAAGTTTAGGGGGAAGGGGGTCACAAAAGGCAATCTCCGTCCCTCCTAAAGGGTTAAATTACTTAAGACAACTGTACACTAGAATTATGAATGACTTTTTACCTTTTTAGTATGAGTTTATAATGAATATGTATTGCTTTTATCATCAAATGGAGCTCTGGTGGCACAGTGAGTTATGTGGTGTTGGGCTGCTAACTGCAAGGTCAGCAGTTTGAAACCACAGTCACTTGGCAGGACTAAAACAAGGCTTCCTACTCCCATAAAGCGTTAGTTTTAGAAACCCACAGGGGCAGTTCGACCATGTTCCATAGGGTTGATGTGGGTTGGCATCGACTCAGTGGCTGTGAGTTTGGTTTTGAGAGTTTATCATCAAATAATACAAAGCTATTTTTTTTTTCATTTGAGGGGGGAAAAGGCTGTAAAACTAAAAATAATTTATGAATAGCCAACAAGACACAATCAATACTTTATCCAAAGAGAGAGCTGCAGAAACTGTACTTGTAAGAAAATACTATTTGAGAAAACATAGATGTTTTTTAAAACATGACTTTAAATTAGGAAATGTCTCAAAAGTGTTTTACAATAGTTATGTTAATTTTTTCTAACTACACCAGCTGCCTTCGAGCCAACACCAACTTCTTGTTTCTGTTAGGTAAATATAACAAAGGCTCTGAGTCAGCGCCTGAGCACACACTTAATCACACAACATTTTAGAGGATGTGTGTCTTTTATGAATTATATGAATACAAAATTATATACCAAACCCCTATTCACTGCATTCACTTCAATCTTCTACACAACTTCAAAGGTAGTGTGGCTTCCTAAACCATTTGAAGAATCGAGAAAAGGCAGTGCCATTCATATTCCGTACAAGTGAGATGAATCCAGGGTTACACCCAACCTCCAACAAGTCAATAATAGTGCCCTCTGTCCACCAAGTTCAAAACAATTCCATTCTCCCAGGAAACTGTCTCGTTTCTATATAAAACAGTGAGCTATAAAGTGCATTCTGTAATCACATCATCTTCGTTTTTCAGAAGGATAAAACAGAGAGCTTTCCAGCAAGTGTGAGGAGTAAAGGGTTATCATCTTGAAAATTCCGTGTCCAGGACACTAAACACAGTGAGGGTGAACGGCAGGCAGACAGACCAGCCAGAGCCGTGCGCGCAGGGCAGGAAGCAACAGCAGTGCGACGAGGGGGCGGGGCTCAGCCTGTGCTCTGACGCACCCCTCATATCACCTCGAACACAGTGCGAAGCGACTAGTCGTGTTTTCATGTTAGACGACATGATGGTTAAAAAGAGGATAACATTAAAAATGAAAAGATTAGGATAACTTCCAAATTATGTGAAGAATCAAAATTAAAACAGGCCGTGATCCAAAGGGTAAATGCCTGAATGAGGGCACTTCAAAAAGTCTGTTGAAAAATGAAATGAATGCCCAGAGATAATCTTCAAACCTTAAACCCAAAATATCCCCGATGTCTTCTAAAACCAAAAATTAAATGAGCTTAACTAGTTAAAAATACCTGCGTTGAGCATAATATTCTTTTAAGAACTGTATATATAAAAGAGCCCTGGTGGCCTAGTGGGCTATCCGCTGAGCTACTAACCTCAAGTCCAGTGATATGAACCCACAAGGTGCTCCTTAGGAGAAAGATAAGACCATCTTCTCTTGTAAACCTTTAAAGACTTGGAAACCCAATGGGGCAGTTCTGCACTGACCCATTGGATCACTATAAGCCAGAATCAAATCAACTAGATGGCAGGGAGCTTTGAGTTTATAGGGGATCAAACTGAGTTGCAACAGTAACTCAAAAGATTGGATAGAAAACTCGAGGAGGGTGGGGGATTATGCTAATAAGGGAGGACTGACTCAGAAAAGGAGTGGTGACAATGGGTGCAAAACTGTAAGAATGTAATCAGTGTTTTTAAATTGTATACCTAGCAGTTCTTGAATTGGCTCATGTTATGTCATGTATATTCTCAATAACAACAAAATAAAATTACGTGTGTGTGTGTGTTGTGTGTAAAAAAAAAAAAGAACAATGAAATGACAAGATAACGGAATTTTAGCATGCAGTTTGAAGCCGCCACGTTAGAAAAACCGCATACCTGTAACCGCTGAAACACGCCGGACCGTAAGTTGCCGAATCCATAGTGGCACTGCAGGTCCACGGCCCTTTCTGACACCTCCTCATAAGGGGACTGGTCAATTTCCCAGTCAAATTCTTCATCGGCATCTTCCACTCCTTCCTCGGAAACCTCCGAAGCACCTTCACACAGAAACACTAATTCAGAGAGAAGTACTGCCTTTCTCAGGTACTACCCGAGAGAGTAGCAGCATCACACAAAATGCCTGCACATGTGCACCAAAATCGGAAACGAGAACATTTACAGCATCCTGAGTGAAAATAGCCAAAAAGATGGAAGCCACCCAAATGCCCAGGAATGGTGGAGTGTCGGTAAATGTGATATAGCTACATAATGAAACCCTCCACAGCAATGAGCCAATGGACCTCTGCTGGCTGCAATATGAAGAATGTCATGGACTGAATTGTAGGCCTCCAAATACATGTCAACTTGGCGGGGCCATGACCCTCGGTGGTTTGGCACTTAAGTAATGACCCACCCCAAGAATGCAAACGATATAAGCCAATCTGTTGTAAATGCTAAGATGGGATGTAATACCCTTCATCCATCACAGTCTTGACCTGACGTGAAGGGAATCCCCCTGGGGTGCATTCTGCAACACCTTTTACTTCACAAGAGGGAGAGGGGCCTACTACCTGAAGGAAAGAAGAGCTGGGCGCAGAGCACATCCTTTGGGTACAGGGTCCCTGCCCTGTGTAGCTCCTAACTCAGACGATGCCAAGGTACATGGAGCCCTCTCCCCCAGGAGCACTGGGGCCACAGAGGCTGAAGGGAGACAAAGACCTTCCTCCTAAACTGTGAGCCAACACAGTCTTCCCCTAGAGCTGGGGCACTGCCAGCCTCCTGAGCGATGAAAGAAAATACTTGTATTTTGTTAAAGGCACCCACTGTGGTGTTCCTGCTACCTAGCACTAGATGCAACTAAGACAGATTTAAGCTCAGAGAAATAAAGACCCAAAGAACACATACTGTAAAAATCATACCTACAATTCACAACAGGAAAAACGGAGGACAGGATGACCTTGGAGACGAGTGAGGAAATAAGTGGGCAGAGGCACCGGGAAGTATCCCAGAGTTTGGGAAATGTCATTTTTTAAAACTTCTTGAACTATATACTTCTGATCTTAGCTTAATAGGTCAATATTTTGCCAAAGACACAGACATTGTTCATGGTCAAAGAATGGGACTGACCAGCTAGCTCAATAGGATTTCTTATGCCTTTAAATTATACTCCTTCAAATAAGATATGTTCATATGTGTCTACCACTTGATTTTGGTCACCTTAAAATTTTTTTCCACTTTCCAATTCACAACATTCCTTTGCCCCACAAACCCACAGCTTTCCAAGTATTTCTTTCATCTGCAAACATACCTATCTCTTCCACAAGTGCTTTTGCAGTCCTGGATTTTCTGGGTGCTAGGAGAGCAGTCAGCATGTTCAGTCCCTCAAAATGCTGACCAGGAGTTTCTTTGGGCAGCTGAATGGTAAAAATTCCTGAAAAATAAATTTGTTTTAGGCTCAGATAGATTCAAATAATCAAAGGTTTTGCTAATGTACCTATGAAATACATCTTGATAAAACATAATTCTAATTCACAAAGCTCCAAATTTATGCCTTCAACATAGATTTAAGCTCATGCACCATTGTCACTGAGTTGATTTCGATTCACAGCGACTCCATACAACAAGGGAGATGTGCTCTTGGGGGCTTCTGAGTCTCTAACTCTTTACGAAAGTAGAAAGCTTCATCTTCCTCCCGAATTCGTAACCCACGACACCATGGGGGCTCTTCCTTCTTTGTAGATTTAGTAACTAAAACTATATATAGAAAAGAGTACAAAGCAGGATCTTCAAAAATACTGACCCAGCTATCTCCTCTTCAACAAATTCTGTTAAAATTGCAGAATCATACTGATGTGTCACTGTAGTCAACTGGCAGAGTTGAAAAATCAAGGTCAAGACTTCTAAAAATCCCAGTAAAGAGGTGGCCTGGTGGCACAATGATTAGGCACTCAGCTGCTAACCAAACGGTGGGTAGTTCAAACCCATCAGCTGTTCTCATAAAGATTGCAGCCAAGCAGACTCTACAGGGCAATTCTATCCTATCATATATGGTTGCTATCAGTCAGGATAATAGTAGTTTTTAAATATATAAAATCTTAAGGAAAGTAATCATAGCTTTCTTTAAGAACTCAAATAATCTAGCATCTAACAACAACAATTTTAAAAACCCACAAGCCCCCTCCCCCCAAAAAAACCACAAACCCACTGACATCAAGGTAATTCCAATTCATATCACCCCTATATAGGGTTTCCAAAGCTGTAAATCTTTACCGGAGTAAATGGCCTCATCTTTCTTCTACAGGAGGCACTAGTGGGTTTGAACCACAGACGTTGAGGTTAGTCGTCCAACACTTAAACCTTGGAGTGCCACCAGGCTCCTCAAAGTCATCCAAGGAAGACTCAAAATCGATCTATAATCCTTTTTCTTTCCTTGCTTGGGTTTATCATAGGCTGCCCCGCGAACTTATAACATGATTTACTACTCCTACATTTTAAAGTCTTTCATTGCTTTCAGAATCCTGCATTATATCCTAATATGTCAAATATAACTCAACCCAAATATTTCCACATATACAATCTTGCTAAACCTCTGTGCACTTTAATAACTTTCTTTCCATATGGAACCTATCTGCAATTAAAAGCAGGCTTACTACCTAAAATCACAGTTTCAGTACACTTCTTTATCATGGTAGTTACATGGCATTATGGGTTAGAACTTTGTCATTTAACTCATCCTGCATTCTGTCCCCATCCTAGTTCACAGAGGTCAGTAAATATTCACTGAGTGAATGACACAAAAACACACAGGTCTTCTATTCTAGATCTAGTGGCAAAGGAAAACCCAGGCTCTCCATAAAGAAAAAATAAACTATGGCAAGGCCATTCAAATTGAGGGTGTGATGGTACAGTGAGGGGATTGCAATGGTGAATTCAATCAGAATGTGCAGGAAGTATTGGAGGTAAAACTATCATCTCCTCTGCAAGCCTTCAGCTAATTCACAATAAAGAGGGTTGGAAAAAAAGGGGAGTCTGTCCATTACAACAGGGCATTTCAGTCAACCAAGGGCCGTCCGTGGACAGGTCCTCCCTCAACACATGCTTTGCAAGCTGAAGTTTGAAATTCTAAAATAAAAATTCCTTTCAATAGCTTATAAATCAACCATAAATTTTATCATCAATTGCCTTACACATCTCAGTGTTCACTCTTAAATATCTCTTCATGGAGGGGAAGTAGGAAATAAAACTGCTTGAAAAATAGAACCGGAATATTTCACTAACTTTGCTTTGAAAAATACAGTGAAGTCTGTTTAAAAGCCTGTAAAAAGCACATTGTCAAGAAATCTATGAATAACTGACTCAATATTAAGAAACTGTCTCCATTGTTTATCTTTTGACACTTTATTATATAGCTAATCTAACCTGAAGAAAAAAAAACATAGAACATTCCAAACATAATACCTTTATCTGCATCGTACGTTCCTCGCTCACTTCCATTTTCTACAATTCTTCCAGGAAGGGTTAATCTGCAGATTGAAAGTAAAGCCTTATGAAGTCTTCAAATTAAAACCCAGCATAAGTGATGGCCAGAATACATTTTTTACCAATGAGAATCTATAAACCACACAATGAAAATCCCTCAGCATTTCTATCCCATACACGACAGAATAAATAACTGATTCTTTTCCCAGGAGAAAGGAATCAGAAACGGTTCATCTTTCTTTTGAAAACTCCCTTCTTGTTGCTAGTTGGCTGGTTGAAATCAATTCCAACGCATGGAGATCCATGAACAGAGCTGCTCTGCAGAACTGATGGCTATAATCTTTACGGAAATCGACTGCCAGTCCTTTTCTTTTGTCTAGGACAGAGGTTCTCAACCTATGGGTCACGACCCCTTTAGGGGTCGAACGATCCTTTCACAGGGGTCACCCGATTCATAATAGCAAAATTACAGTTATGAAATAGCAACAAAAATCATTTTATGGTTGGGGGGGTCACCACAATATAAGGAACTGTATTAAAGGGTCACGGCATAAGGAAGGTTGAGAACCACTGGTCTAGGAGGCCTGGTGGTGTAGTGGTTACACATCGGGTTGTGAACTGCAAGGTCAGCAGTTCAAAACCACCAGCCTCACCAAGGGGGAAAGATGAGACTTTCTAATCCCATAAAGTTACTCTGTAAACAGTTACAGTCTCAGAAAGAGGAGCCGTTCCACCTGTCCAAGGGGTCACTATGAGTCAGCACCGTCTCAAGGGCAGAGTTGGAGAACTGATTCTTCTGCAGTCCTGCAGGATGGGGTCCGACTTTTCACCACATTGAACAGGCGCCCTGGAGCTATAGTGGGCTTCACGTTTGGCAGCTAACAACAACAACAAAAAAACCAGCAGTTGGAA